GATGCTGGCATCTCAAGCAATAGCTTAACCCGTTGCAGCTGATACCAGTCTTATTTACCTGTTTTTTTGAAAAGCACAGTGACTGGTAGAGGCAGATTTGTGCGTGTGTGCGTGTGAGTGCTCACATACACATAGGGAGAGAGGAACGGTGGGAGGGAGGGACAGAGAAAGAGACCTATCTTTATTTGCTGATTTACTGCCCAGATGGCCACAACAGCTGTGATTGGGCCAAGGCTGAAACCAGGAGCCAGAAACTCCATCCTTGTCTCCCACAGGGTGGCAGGAAACCAAATACTTGGGTCATCGTCTTCTGCCTTTGAGGCACGTTAGCTGAAAGCTGGATAGAATGCGAAGGAGTTGGGACCGATAACACAAGTGGCTGCTGAATCCACTGATTCACTGTGCCACAATGACTATCCCTTTGAAAAAAAAATTGGAGGTGAGGAAGAGGAAGAAAGGGATAGAATGAGAAGCAGGGACGAAGCACCAGAGATTGAGTGCTCCCCCATCATCCACTGGCTGACTTCCCACGTGCAAAAGCCAAGACTTGGTCAGGCCAAGGTCAGGAGCCTAGATTGGATGCCAAGTCTCTCCTGGGGGTGATGGGATCCACTACTTGAGCTGTCACCTGCTTTCCAGGGTGTCCATTAGTGTAGTTAGGGCTTAAACCAGACGTTTCAGTGTAGGGTGTGTAACCACTGGGCCAAGTGTGCCCCAGTGATGTGTGTTTTAAATATCCCTTCTTGATAAAGTGAATTTAATCCTATGTTGGTTTCTCAAATTATATTTGAAATTGTATTGATCTGTGAAATCCATGTTTTTCAAAGCTGCTGTTAAAATGTCCTGCTTACTCAGTTTACCATTTGTAGATTTTGCATCACAGGTCAGAGTTATTTCTTACTTTGATTTGGATGTATTTTACAGAATGATTAATGCTGATATATTTAGTGTTGGCAGCCTTTGTTTTGTTTGGCTTTCTATTGCTTTACTTTAACCAAGGCGGTAGTATTGAGCTTACTGCATTAACAGCAGGTATCACACTATGAAAGAATGGAAGAAATATTTTGGCAATTGGTCATTATTTAAGTTGTATATATGGATTAGTTTCAGTAACACTGGGGAACTCCTGTGTGGAGAACTGTTTCTCCTACCAGCTTGTCAATGGTATCAGGAATTTTCATCTTTTTGCTATTATTTGAATGTAAGGCACATTATATAAATTCCATGAAAGCAGCTATCACATGTATCTTTATTGTTGTTATTTCCATCATTTATTTCACTTCCTCACCCACAAATAGTTCTTCCATAATTATTCATTTAAGTAACGAATGAAAGCAGATGCTACTTTGGCTTTTACAATATTACTGGGCATGGTAGTTCATGATGAATAGTTTATTAAATAATAAGAAGTAAAACTTGAAGATAATTAAAAGATAGTTCAGATGCATTCTAGAAAAAGTACATAAGAAAGTTAGACAAGTTTGTCAAAATACATTCCTTTCTGTCTCTATTAGAAACCTTCTTATCTGAAAGTATGAGCCGTTACCTGCTGCCTTTCCAGGCGTTTTAGCAGGAGGCTGGATGCAAAGCAGAGGAGCTGGGACCTGCAGTTTACTCTCTGATATGGAATGGGGGAACCCTGAGTGGGGACATGAATCCTCTGTGCTGTAACACCTGCCCCTCATTTTGCTCTTCAAATTCAAATTATTTTAATACATCTTAAAGGTGCAGGGTAAGAATTTATGTTTTCTGAAGAAAATGTTCTAACAAAAGGATAGGAGAGCACAGGTGGGATTACATCTCTTAATTTTGATTTGCCTGTTCACTGATGGATAAATTAATTCAGGACCATTAGTGGGCAGTTTTAAAATGTTCTGATAGAATTAAAGATATGTGTTATCCAGCACTTCTAGATAAATGAAAATGCCATTTAATGTTGGTCAAATACATGTAACATTGGATAGTAACAGTGAAACATTGCACACATCTGAAATATCTGTGAACAGGAGACTAAAAAAGTTTTGATATATTTATTCACTGTAGTAAATTGGAAATAGATGACTTAGAGCTAAATATCTCAACTTGAAGATTTAAAAAGTGTTGAATTACTAAAGTAAGTTGCAGAAGGGAATGCACATGTGTGTGTTTATAAACATGCACAATAATACCACATATGTATATAAATAATCATGTGTGTACTCACACCTAGAGAAACAGCAGAAAGAGTACACAATGATACTAAACAAAATCAAAATGATTATTTCTAAGGAATGAGGTGTAGAATGTAATCCACAAGTTCCTTTATTTCTTATTAAGGAAAGTTCATTTTTAAGTAAGGTAGAATGTTAAATTTTTATATTTGGGGCAGAGGTACATGTATATTACCTTATCTAGATTATTTAGTAATAATGTTTAAAATAATTAATAATTAAGCATTTAAAAGGATAATTGGTGGTGAAGGGTGGAGGGGAAAAGGAGATATGGACATTAATTCAAGAAGATCTGCTTGTAAAGGCAGAGAAATAGGCTGGTGGTTGAGGGGAAATTCACCTGGCTGATATTGCGTACTTGGAGAATAGTAACAGTGTGGGAGCAGAATCTTTTTTCTTTTAAGATTTATTATTTGTTTGAAATTAAGAGTTACAGAGAAAGAGAGCATGCACACACTTCCATCCACTGCTTGAGTCCCTACATGGCTACAATAGCTGGAACTGGGTTAGTCTGAAGCCAGGAGCCAAGAGCTTCTTCTGGGTCTCCCATGAGGATGCAGGTTCTCAAGCACTTGGGCCATCTTCTACTGCTTTCCAGGCATGGTACAGGGAGCTGGGTGGGCAGTGGAACAGCCGGTACATATGGATTATAGGTGCTGTAGCTGGTGGCCTTACCTAGTGTGCCATGGTGCCAGCCTCAGGTCTGTGAGTTAGGGAAACATGATAGGGGCCAGTGCAGGAGTAGTGTGTTTGGCTTCTGATGGGTACAGGATAGCATGCTGAAATAGGAAGAAAAGCAGAATAAGTCTTGGAGGATGAAGTTCATATTAAAAAAATGTTACTAGACAGAAACTGTGGCTGGTACTGATCATGCATCCACTAGTTTATTTGCAAGATGCTTACGATAGCCTGGGCCTGGAACTACAGTCTCTCGTGTTGGTGGCAGGGACCCACGTACTTGAGCCATCATCTGTTTCCTCCAAATGTGTAAGTTAGCTGGAATTGGAAGCAATACTGTGACCTGATCCTGGACAGTCCAATATGGGATGAGTTAAGAGATGGGGCCAGCAGTGACTGAACTCATTGTACCCCAGGTTCTCTGGTGAATTTAGGCTGAAGATTAAACAGGGTGCTTTGGGTTTGGGAGATATCCCAAGATGGAAAACTTTCAGTACTGAAGCAAAACAAGGATGGTTAGCATCTGACTGTTTGTCCTTCAAAGTATACTAGTTACCTTCCGGGAGTGAGAAGGGGATTTATTTGAAAGGAGAGGCTATGAGATAATTCTCTGTATTTAATGTGATGCTTCCTGAGCATTGCTAGGGGGAATGCTGAAGTTTTACAGTTATAATTTAAAAAGTATATGCTTGTGTTTAACTTTGTCTTTACCCCTCTGTTGAGGAGGTATCATGCTACATAGACAGCTGCACTTAAAGAAAAATGCTTATTTTACTTATTTGAAAGGCAGAGTTACAGAGAAGGAGAGAAAGAGAGGGAGGGAGGAAGAGAGAGAGCAGGTCCATCCACTGGTTCAGTCTCCAAATGAGCACAACAACTAGAGCTGGGCCAGGTTAAAGCCTGCAACCAGGAGCTTTTTCTGGGTCTCTCATGTGGGTGTGGAGACCCAAGCATTTGGACCATCTTTTGCTGCTTTCCCAGGTGTATTAGCAGGGAGCTGGGTGCCCACTCGGATGCCTGTGTTACACTTGGTGGCTTTACTTGCTACACCACAGTGCCAGTCTGAGAAAGTTGGTTTTAAACTATGTTTTGCTTGTGATGGAGGGAGAGGGAACAGAGTGTGAGGCTGTAGGAAGGGTCATGATTTTAAGGATTGGTTGAAAAGTCTCGGGCTGGTTAAGAAGTAAAAGAGGATTGAAGGATAGGGAAAAAGTTGTAGGGTTTATTGGCACCTGCTCGTTACTGGGAATAATCAAATAAGAAGTAAAGAGGAAATCTGTAAATCTTTATTTTTATTGGAAAGTCAGACTTACAGAGAGAAGGAGAGACAATGAAAAAGATCTGTCCACTGGTTCACTCCCCAAGTAGCCACAGTGGCTGGAGCTGAGCTGATCCTAAGCCAGAAGCCTGGAGCTTTTTCTAGATCTCCCATGTGGATACAGGGTCCAAAGGCTTTGGGCCATCTTCTTTGCTTTCTCAGGCACCAAGCATGTAGCTGGATGGCAGGTAGAGTAGCTAGGATATGAACTGGCACTGATATGGGATCCTGGCACATGCAAGGCAAGGAATTAGCAATTAGGCTACAACACCAGCACCAACTCCTTTTTTTTTTTTAAAGTAAAGAGAGTGATATGCTTGAGATTTTTGATATGGTATAGTTATTGATTACTAATTTTGTCATCTGAGTAAATAAGTGGAATGTGTTGGAAGAAGACATCCATGGAAATGAGAGTGCTTGATTCCTCCCTGAGTGTTATTTAGTTATTAAGTAAAGCAGGCTTAATCTAAAACAAGTTGATGTAGTTATTTTCTTTTCATATATACATATATATTATATTGCCTCAAATTGCAAATATTTGTTGTTCTGATATAAAAACAAAGCGATTGAGTGAATGCAAACAGATTTTATTTAACTGGTTCTCAGCCTTGTTATAGAAGCCTAATTTCCCAGAGACATTGTACTTGATGAGTTTAAGCACTGACGTGTAATGATTCTACTGCTTACCAAGTTCTTTTAGTCCCACGTAAGTTCAGGGTGGGCTTTGTGCCATGTGTGGCTATTTGTCATACACAGCCTTGGTGACACTGATTTTGCTCCTTGTCTTTTTATAGGACCGCAGCTGAATGCCCAGCTAGAAGGTTGGCTTTCACAAGTACAGTCTACAAAAAGACCTGCTAGAGCCATTATTGCACCGTAAGTTTGAAGAGTTTTTACCTCTCGTCTTTCATATACTGGTGGTTAATAAATGTGGAATATCTAAAGGTTTAAGAACAACGAAAGAGCAGAAAACTAAGCACCATATTGAACTGAAGATACTGTTTTCAGTAATTTTCATAGTTCCTTGTAGTTTCCACTTGCACTAAAAAATAAAAAAATTGGCTATTTTGTTTTACCAAGTAGTACAGTTATTTCAAAATTTATTTTTGGTAGTAAGGATGATTTTTAATTTTATTTTTTGGTGTTTACATAGTTGATCAGGGTAGTGGTTGAGGACCAAGGGAAAGTGGATGAGACCGTTGTTTCCAGATTTTCTTTTTCTTCTTCCTGTATCTGTGGGAAGAGGAGAGATAAAGGGAGAAGCTGCACCCAGCCTTCCATCTGCCTCAGTCCCTGTGGATGGGGAAGGGCCATTCTGGGATAAGGATGTCATCCCAGGGTCCCCGATGTGGAGCGTCCTCCGGGGGTTGTGCTTAAGTGATTTTGATAATTCTGAAAAGCTGTCCATCATGCCAAATCCTAAGATGAGGAAATCCTTGTCTAAGGTAGACAGAGTCTACCTTAGAGTCTCCATTTGCCTAGATATTTATTTACTGTCATTGCCTGACTGGGTTAGTTACCCAATTTGCTCTGTCTTCCTTCCTCTGTTATGGTACCAGATATCCTCTGCAGGCTCCAGTGGATGGCCGTATCCTCCATATGCCTCTGTGTATGTTGTCCACTGCTCTGAGCCATTAAGGAGAGCCAGTTCTGACACGTGCACTCCATGGGTAGTCCACATATCCTGCAATTCTCCTCATGGTTGGAGTTCTGAGTGCAGTGGTTCATTTGGGGGAATCCTCAAAGAAACTCCATCTAAAGTGATCCTAGACCTGACTTGTCTGTGATTGCCAGCATGGTGTCCATCACTCGTATCAGCCTATGCACACACTGCTAGTTAGGACTGCTGGGTCTTTTCTGTCTCCAGCCCTGTCTCTTATTTAATTCAGTGGATGATGCAGCCCAGTTCAGCCCTGGCCACCACACACTCAGTCCTCATGTACACCAGTGGGAACTGCAACCTAGTCAGAGCAACCTCTAGTCATCCCCACCAGGCCCTCCCTCATCCTTGGTACTTGTACTTGCCAGTATGAAATTGATAAAGTCTGCTTAAGTTATACTAATGCAATATTTAATAAGTTTTGTGACTTCATTGCTGTCATACAGTTAATTCAGATTGATGAAAGTGGGTGCAAAATTTGTTTTAAATGATGTAAAAATAAGTTCAGTTTTGAATTGGTACAGCTAAAACAAAAATAAACTATGAAAATGATTTTAATGCAATCTGAGCATGCAACTGCTGAGATCCAAATTGGTGTTAGATGCTTCACTTCTTTTTAACTATAAACTTAGCGCAAAACTCAAGGGAGAAGGGCCTTGGTAATGCTTTCCATCCTATAGAGAAGGCTCCTCTGCTTTGTCATCACCTGCTGCTTCAGCCCAAGAACTGCCATTCTTAGCACCTAATGAGGCAGCACAGTGAGCACAAGTACTTACATGGACCCATTCGATCAAAGTGTAGCCTGCTCACCGCCCTTAGCAGGTGCCAGGTTGCTGGGGTGCTCCTGTCTTGGACTACATACTTCGAAAACTTTAACTTCCTTCCTCCTAACCTGTCTCAGTATTCACTTGTAATAACCATTCAATAAGTAAGACCTTGTACAAATAGCTGGATAAGGATTTAACTGTCTATTTATCAAGAAATTAACCTTTCTGTGCACAAGCAGGAATAAGAGGAAAACAATTCAAGAAGACCTTCTGGAGTTTAAGTAGTCCACTTGAAACACCTCTAATGAGTAGACAATCATGTGCCAACATTTGATGAACTTAAATTTTCTGTTGTGTGGTTTCAGAGCGTAAAACAACCTCTGAATGATTTCAGCTCGTATTTCACTAGTCAGAGTAGCATGCTCATCAGCTGACCTCAGCAGCTTGACAGGTGTCAGGGGGCACTGGAGGGCAAGCGACGGAGTCCTGTGGTGGAGTTCACTTCAACAATAGGGCTTACGACTTGGGTATTGGATCAGGACATCCCAGTGGCGTAACTGTGATTGATGGTTCATTTGTTTAATGACTGAAATTCTTCCTAATGAATTCAGGGCTGCACAATCTAGGTCAGATTCTGTCAAAGTTTTCTACAGTGTGAAAAGACAAGAAATAGAGCTATGTGTTTTTTTTTTTTTTTAACAGATGGTGTTATCTTTTAAAAAGTCATTTATTTATTGAAGGGCAGGAAGAGAGATCTACCTGAGTTAGACTGAAGCTGGGAGCCCAGAACTGAAAGCTGTCTGATATGGTTGGCAAGGACTCACGAACCTGAGCTGTCATTTTCTTCCCAGGGTGTGTATGGCTAGGCAGCTGCCCTTGGAAATGGGGCCAGGACTTGAACCTAGGCCCTGTGGTATATGATGTAAGCATTCTTGTTTTTTTTTTTTTTAAGATTTATTTATTTTTATTACAAAGTCAGATATACATAGGGGAGGAGAGACACAGAAAATTCTCTGTCTGATGATTCACTCCCCAAGTGAGCGCAACGGCCGGTGCTATGCCAATCCAAAGCCAGGAGCCAGGAGCCAGGAGTTCTTCCAGGTCTCACACACAGGTGCAGGGTCCCAAGGCTTGGGCCGTCCTCAATTGCTTTCCCAGGGCAGAAGCAGGGAGCTGGATGGGAAGTGGAGCTACCAGGATTAGAACCGGCGCCCATATGGGATCCTGGCACGTTCAAGGCAAGGACTTTAGCCGCTACACTATTGCACTGGGCCCTGTACATCACCAGGCCTAATAAATAGTCAGTGCTGAGAAATTTGCAGAGTAAATTGTGTTTTATAACCGTTGTGTTTCGGCTGGTACCACCAAAGCATTTGGAAAATGGAGCAACATCTGTTACAGTGAATTACAGTTATTGTGAAGCAAAGCAACATTAATTTTGTTAGTTAATGTCTGAAAGCTAACCTCTGCACAATGAAATGCCACATAGAGATACATTAGCATGATTTATTACTGTGTCTCAATAATGATAAGATTACTTTGCCTCAAAATGTGTCCATTCCTTAAGGTATTGAAGCATGAACGTTAAATTCCTTGGGGGAAAATTTATTCACTTATTTCATTGCCCCTACAATAATAGAATTGTCTATTCTTAGTCTCTTGTTTTTGTTTTGATTGGAAAGTAGAGAGAGAAAGAGACACAGACAGATAGGCAGGATACATCTTCCAGCCCCTGGTTCACACTCATGCTTGAAAGAGCCAGGGTCTAGCTAAGAATGTAGAACTCCGCCTGGGTCTCTGCTGTGGGTGGAAGGCCTGGCTCCGTGAGCCTTCAGGGTGTGCATCAGTGGGAAACTGGATCTGAAGCAGAAGTCGGGAGGGGGGGACGGGGACTCTATCAGGTAATGTGATATAAAACACGGGTTTCTGAAGAATCCACCTCTCTACCCAATTCTTCATTTTTTAAAAAAAATTTATTTATTTTTATTGGAAAGGTAGATATACAGAGAAGAGGAGAGACAGAAATATCTTTCGTCCGCAAAGGCTGGAGCTGAGCCAATCTGAAGCCAGGAGCCAGGAGATTCTTGTGGGTCTCCCATGCTGGTGCAAGTTCCTAAGGCTTTGGGCCATCCTTGACTGCTTTCCAGACCACAAGCAGGGAGCTGGATGAGAATTGGGAACTGCCGGGATTAGAACCTACACCCATATGGGATCCTGGCACGTTCAAGGCGAGGACTTTAGCCGCTACACTATTGCGCTGGGCCCTCTACCCGATTCTTATTGCCATGCTTTTATTATCGTATTTCTCAATGTTCCCGTAGCTAGTAACCTTGCTAATAACCACCTAACCTCTGATCAATAGTGACTAGTACAATTTATATTTAAACAAATAATAACAATGCGTAATATTAAGGCATGAATTGTACTTTTAAGCAGTTATTCATTTTTATCTGAGAGGCATATTTAGAGAGAGAAAGAGGAGGAGGGAGGGAGGGAAGGAGAGAAAGAGAGAGAGAGATGTTGCATATACTGGAGAGAGGTATCTTCTACTTGTTGTTTCACTGCTCAGATGGCCACATCTGGTAGTTGCTGAGCATCGTTGAAGGCAGAACTTGGGAAGTTCTTGGTCTCCTACAATGCTACTGAGGCCCAAGGACCTGAGACATCTTCTGCTTCTTTCCTAGGCTGCAGGCAGGGAGCTGGATTGGAAGTGAAGCCACCATTACTCAAATTGGCACTTATATAATAAGATGCCAGTTCTGCAGGCAGAGGATTAGTTTGCTAAGCCACCATGCTGTCCCTGAAATGTGATCTTTAATAGGATCATGTTTATTAATTGGTTCAACACATTTTCTTCATTCATTTACACTGACTTATCCTTTTTTTGTTTTTTTTAAAGATTTTTTTTTTTTTTTGAACTTCAGATATACAGAGAGGAGGAGAGACAGAGAGGAAGATCTGTCTGCTAATTTACTCCCCAAGTGACTGCAATGGCCGAAACTAAGCTGATTCAAAGCCAGGAGCCAGGAGCCTCTTCTGGGTCTCCCATGTGGGTGCAGGTTCCCAAGGCTTTGGGCCATCCCTGACTGCTTTTCTAGGCCATAAGCAGTGAGCTGGATGGGAAGCAGGGCCGCTGGGATTAGAACCGGCACCTAAATGGTTTGCCAGTGTGTGTAAGGCGAGGACTTTAGCCACTAGGCTACCTTGTCAGGCACATTTACACTAATTTCTTAACTGTCAGTAAATTTAGCCGTTATTCATTCCATTATGAGCCCGAGTTGGTTTACTCCCCAAATACCTTCAACACCCAGCATTGTTCCAGGCAGAAACAAGCGGCTGACTGTCTCTCCTGGGTCTCCCCCGCTGTGCAGCAGAGATTCAAGCTGTTTAATCATCATCCACCGCTTCCCAAGATGTATGAGCAGAAAGACATTAGAATCAGAGCAGCT